GATGCATATTTAGTTTATTTGAACTCTATTTGACACCTGCACAGGTGTGGGATCTTGTTTAGTGTAATCAATGGCATTACAGTAATAAAGAGATTATAGACTGTAGTAATGGTTTCTAAAGAAGAATACAACCTTGAAATGAGTGTAATGTTTTTCTGTGACATCACAAGGTTGCTCTATGACATCACAAAGTTCCTCTTTTACATCAAAAACTTGATCACAAACTTGCTTGGTGAAATCACCAAGTTGGTCAGTTACATTGCCAAGTTGCTTGGTGACATCACCAAGTTACTCATAGGTCCAGAATTAAAATATTACAGAATTGAAGATATTGTCATGAAATATTTGAATATGATAAATTATGAATTTGAAACTATGTAACATTTATCACATGGTATCAATTATCTTCAGTGATGCAACACTGTTTTTAATTGTGTCCACATGTTGCTATAGTAACTGTGGGTTATAAGGTTAATAATTAGGATGAAATGAAGGTAAGGTATGACTAATTAAGTGGTAGACGCTACAGAATCTGTGTTACATATGTAGAGGGTGCAGAAGCTGCAACTACATGACTGGCCTGATATGGTAGAACAGTGGAGCTGTAGTCTACAAAGCATGGTGGTTTAAAGTAGTGCTAATGAAAATTACAAACTGAAAACATGGTTACTAGAAGAATGGTTAGGAAACTCTCGGTTTCCTTTGTTAGGATGCGTGTCTCGGTAAACATTTAAAACAAAGAGAATTAGCATAGTACTGACGTTGCAGTGATAGTAATTTGCACAAAATTACATATTCATCTGAAGACTGCAGAAGATTGCAGTTTTCTGTAATGCCCCCCCCCCCTCGATTTATACAACATTGTCAGGATTTGGTATGAATATGAACACTGAAATAAAAAAATATATTCAGATTAAAACTGCACTATGAAACCATATCACTTACACTGCTACTGGCCGTGGTCTAGAAAAAGAAGATGACTGACACTGTTAATTGGGAGAGATGTATTTTTGGGGTACAAAATTCCATCGCCACATTGGACATCAGTAGACGCAGACTTATGATCGCCCTACTGAAACAATGACAATTTTCTACAGCAGTTTAGTATTTAACTTACAGAAATTATAATAATGTAAACTCTAAATAGTAATTTGACAATGCGTTCTACTAAAATATTTCCTTTTGATTTTTCAGAATTTTCCCAAACTATTATGACAAACGCAGACAAAATGGCTGACTTCGCTAACCTCAACAAAAAAAGCGTTATTTTCTAAAGTTATGATTGAAGTTAGTTATGATAATCGCAGTTCCACAATAAAATACCCAAACATTAACGTAGTAATGAATATTATCATTTTAGAACATTCTCAGACAGAGTTTTTAGAATAAAAAATGGCATGGTCAATTTCGATTCACAGACGGCAGATATGTCAACAAAACAACTATCGATAATTTAATTTTTTTGAGAACAACAAAACATCGAGTATCACACAACATTCGCACAGAAGTCGGTGATGCTTCTATAATTAGTTTTGAATCAGTCTGTGAAATAGCATTGTTTAACAAAAATAAAATTAACTTCACATGGGAGCGCTTTCTAACATCTCTAGTATTTTTAAACCTACATATGTCCAGTTGTATGTATTGAAGGCATTTATTGTCAATGCTGGCACATAAATATAGGTAGTGTACTTTTCGCTGGTTGCTCAATTGTGTATATCTTTTTTTATTAAACATGAATGGCTTATTAATGAGGACTGCTGCGCAATGTATTATTTTCAAAATTGATAATGGAGACCATACTATTGATATTATTAGAAGACTATTTTTATGGTGATTGATTTTATATCATATCATATTATGCAATAAATGTTTAGCTAATTGCAGACTGCTGATTAATTGAGTTTGTTTTTCTGTTAAATGTTTACGAAATTTTCAAATCATATGGATCCCTAGCCTAAGGTCAACAGTGAAATGTTTTCTGTTGCACAAGTTAAGTTTTTTTCAGTCGCAAACTGCAGATGTGAAAAACACACAATGGAACTCTTGGTTGGCTGTCTAATGAGTGAATTCTCAAGGTTGTTTGTTTCATGCTTCTTTTGTTAACCTTAAAGCCTTGGAGATATGTGTAATCATGTGCATCCATATATGTCACTTATTTTATTTTTTTAAAGTGTATTTTCTAGATCAACAAATATTTATTATTAATTGTCATAATTTCCAGGTAATTTAAAAAAAAAATTGGAGAAAACCTGTATAAGTGATTTGAAATTAGTGTGCCATTAACATTAAACTTATTTGGTAAAGTTGAATGAATATAATAATTAATTGGTTTGTATACGAGTATTGCATGCATGCCTACACAAGTGTGATGTTGAAAAGAAACATATAGCGCACAAAATGTAATGTTCTATTTTATTTTTAACTTCCTAAATTATATATTGAATTATTCTACTGTACTAGATAAACTAAGATAAGCTACGATAAGGCAGGACTTTATTGCGACATTTTAAAAAATATAACAATTCCAATTTGGTACATAGCAAAATAAAGTTAAAAGATTATAAAATACTACAAAATTGTTCAATTATCACACACAAATATAAAGATATTCATGAATCTAATTTGCTTATTTACTGTTGTTTAAATAAACATGGAGAGCAATATAATTTATGTTTAGTTTGCATATTTCGTTTTTTAATCTATATTTTTGAAATCAGTATCAATCAAGTTTATTGAGTTTACTTTTCAGTGTGACTGCAGTAATTATTCACTTGCTTTTAATTCTGCTAAATTAAATCCATGTGAACATGTAAAACAGTTTCCATTATTTCACTGAAATATTCATGAATTTAAAACCCAATATGTTCAAAATAGGGTAATTACCAGTAAAAATTAATATCTCACAGTATTCATGATAATTTAAGTAACAGTGCATTCTGTTGAAAATATTTATATTTATAAATTATCAAAATGTTTCACTTTTAATGTCATGATTTTTCTCGCCAAAAATGTTATTACAACAAGTTCATATTTTATTTGTTTTTCTATAAAATAGGTCTTGATCAATATTTTTAAAAAAATTATGAGAACAAATTATGCAGGTTTATCTGTTGTTAAAAAACATTGCTATTTTTCTGATGATAAGTGTCAGAAAAATGAATTATTCCAAACAATTTATTGTCTGATACAGAATTATTTAAAATGAAATAAATTTTGAAGAAACAAAACGAACGTATTTATTCTGTTAATATTTTTTGATGGGAATGTTTTGCTTGGTGAAGAATAAAGTGGATGTATTAATCATCTAAACAGTGTCATTATTATTCAAGGCAATGATGATGTGATTAAACATAATATACAGGGATTATTGACAACTATCTCATATGAGGGAAACCAAATGCAATGATAGTGACTGTTCAATTAATAAAGTTAATCCAATATTAAAAATCATATTACCGGTAGGCTATTACTGTTGCAGTTTTAATGTTGAATGAATCACAAAAATAACTCAGAATTATGGTTGCTTTTGCTCCACAGCTGTTGTCATCAGCTTATCAACAAACTGTCGATTTGAAAATGTTGATTATTCTTTAATATTAAATAACTGTATATAAAATTAACTTTGTTAACTGACTAGTCCCTGGTGAGTGTTGTTATCAGTGCTTTGATGATGTGGAGATATCAGATTTCAATAAGTGAAGCAGGACTTACTGCTGAGTTTCTCCCAAGAGTTCTACAATGGTTGATCAAGTGAATGAATAACATAAAGCAACAAATTGATCGATCCATGAAGTCATCATTAAATCAATTCCAACTACAACATCAACAGCTTCATTTTTCTCAGCATGAACACCTATCAATTGATAAAAATATCACGTCAGGTTTTATTTATTTTTATACACTAATTTATTTACGCTGTACCCGTATATTAGAGCTAGTGTGATGGAGTCACTCACACATAATAACACAATTTCTGTGAATATATAACATCAAATAATAATTGAAATATGAATAGTTTAAAATTACCATATTTGATCAATAAAATGCTTAAATTGTGAAAATTCTTCGCAGCAAAAATTAAGTTTGGTTTGTGATGACATAGGAATATAATAATGACTATTTTACTATGAAGACAATAATAATAATAACTTACCTGAGAATTAGTGACTTACTTCACGATCAGTATAGCTTGCGGACATCATAAATGCATAATGAAGGAGTTTTAAAAACAGGGACTTGTTTGTCTGTCTATCTGACTGATCATGTTCTAACCAAAGACATTAGAAATTATCTAATGTCTTTGCTCTAACACATACATCTTGGGACATGTGCATTAGTGTCTCAATACCAATCAAGATGGCCGAATAGTGGCCATTTTTAGTGTTAAAATGTCATCAAGATGGCTGAATAGTGACCATTTTTAGTGTTAAAATGTCATCAAGACCAAGCATTTCTGTAATTCCAGATCTCGGTTACATACGAACAAATTTCATTCAACTTTAATTATTACGTCCATTCAATGGACATTTTGAGACCTGGATGCACATATAGCTGGTAGATACACTGCATCACTCATGAAAAACTTTTATATCCCACAAATTACAGAGTGAAGCCATTAGGTTCTGTCCTAATATTTTGTTCCGGTTGTGATAATGATTTATCCTGTTGTATTGGTATATTAAAATCATGTGTTGTTTGTTACATTACAGATACCAACACTGGTGAGAGTAGCAGTGCTAGAGAACAGGAACCTGTGGCGCCATGCAAAGTATGTGGTGATAGGTCCTCAGGATTTCACTATGGAGTTATGGCATGTGAAGGCTGTAAGGTAATTTATGCAGAAATTGCTAATGTTTAGGAATTGATTGCGGGAGGGGGGGAGGGGGGATAGAAAGAGTACAAGGTACAAATAAATATATATTTTCTATGACTAACAATTTTTATAATTTGACATTCAATTTCCCTAGTTTGAATTATCCCAGTGCAGTTTTAACAACTTTCAGTAAATGGTGTGCATTCATGAAAATTTAATTCCAAACATTCCCATGCAAATTTTGTTTCAAGAACAGACAGTTATATTTTCTGGTGTCATTCTTCAAATATAATGGACATTTTATGTATCTTTTTGCATATCATCAATCATTTCTTTACAATTAATATTATGTTTTATATTATTATGTTTATTCATTAATATGTATTTCTTCATTTATATGTAACTATTTTTAATACCTTATCCAAGAATTATTTCATTAAGGGAAAAGCATATAGAGGGGAATGTCTTGTTTGATAAATATTGTGGGTATAACTCAAACAGTTGTTATCTGATCTTTTTCAACTTTGAATATTTTTATTAACCAGTGTGAGCTCTTGGCCAAGTTTGTGGAGATAGCCACAATCTATTTGGGAACGTCTACGGTCGACTCAGGAAAATCACTCAGTCATGAGAATTAGTTAACCATTCGATAGTTTTATTTCGGACTCACCAAGAGATAACAAGATGGTGGCACAACCAGGAAAAGTGACAGATTGTAACACCAACAAAATTTGAGCGGTAAACCATGCGATTGGCTGAACGCTATAAAATTGTAAATAAATGTAACAATGACATAATTGTAAGGTTTCTACATAAACTAAGACATGTGTGGGTTCCAACGATAACGTTCAATTTGTCATGTGTTTTATGGATATTTGTCGAGATATTGATAAAAGTTGGTTAAAATAAAACATTTGTCAGACATAGAAATAAGTGCACAGAATGAACACATTTATGCTGTTAAACATGAGAATTAGATTTTACTGATATGCTCTTCAAGATCTGTTATTAGATAATGCAGTATTTTCTTGTGTAGCGTAAATCATACTTCCCGCCAAAAATAATGATAAGAATCTTTCCCACCAAAAAGTTGCATTGTATATTTTTTTATCAAGAATGTTTGAGTGTGCTAAAACACTCACTCACATTAATAATTTTCCCGTACATTTCATCCCAAACCATGAACACGACTGAATAATCAGTATTGTTGATAGAAACTCAAAATGTAAGTTATTTTTATTATGTGTACATGTACGGTCTAACTGTAATTTGTGAGTTACCGGGTATGTTCTGATTTTTCCACCATTCCTGACACGTACTTGTACTTGTACAAAAACACCAGGCAGCATCCTTGACTTAAATTCTTAATTGTTATTACCAGTAATTTGTAGATTCTCACAGGGCAAAGTTGTAGTTAGTTATGCTATGTTTCTATCTAGGAATCAAAGCATGTTAGTTAACCTTTTCATCCAGTTCTCTCTTTTCATCACAAATTTACAAAATAGTTCTGTTTATAGTCTGCACTTTCCTACAAAAGATTGGGACAGAAAAAGCCAACAAATTTTGAGTAAAAACTGAAAATTGACTCAAATTTTTCTGTAGGCTCCAACATTAGGGTTTATTTCCAGAAATAATGAAAAATATAAAAGAAAAAAATTGCAGAAAAATGTGGATGAGAAAGTCTGGTGGTGAAAAGGTTGAATAGATATCTGCTCATTTTAGTCTCCAGGTGGCGCTAGTCAATTTAATGTTCCCACAGTTATCAGTGAAATTAGGCTCTGATTATAATATTTTGAAATACTTTTAGCCTTATAGTGCCATCCCCCATGTAGTTTTACATTGACTGGACCAGATAAGGGTTGATAAATAAAACTGATGATCTTTGTTAATTCAGTTTTCTCTCCTGGAGTTTCTAACATGGAGAAAAAAGATCTTTTGTTTTCAAAAAATGTTCATAACAAATGCTCAAGATGATATCTCTGACATGCCTTTGTTTACTATTGGACATGTGTACACCTGCACTACTGTATGAGTTTACACTGAAAACAGACGGGGACTATGCCATATGTCATGTTGTAGTTTATTCTAATAGTTGGGTTCTGAGAAATTATGGCTATTAAAATGAATGTGCATTGAACTACATTGATTTATTCACTTGGACATTGTTTTTTTGGCAGGGTTTCTTCAGACGAAGTATACAGAAGAAAATTGAATATAAATGTAATTTTTCTGGCAACTGCCTTATAGAGCGAATGAATCGGAATCGTTGCCAACATTGCAGATTTAAAAAATGTGTCATGGCTGGCATGTCAAAAGATTGTGAGTAATTCTGTTTTCAATTCATCTGTTGTCTTTTAATATTTTGATAAACCATATTTACTCTATTAGTAGTGTGTGTGTTTAATTAATAAATTACAGGTGATCAAAATGTTAACCTTTTCACCACCAGTTCCCTATTTTCATCACAAATTCACAAATAAGTCCTGTTCATAGTCTGCACTTTCCTTCAGAAGATCGGGACAAAAATAGCAAATTTTTTTGAGTAAAAAAATGACAATTGACTCTCTTTGTTCCAAAATTAGGGTTCATTTCCAGAAATATTGAAGATTATAAAAAAAAGTGCAGAAACATTTGGGCGAGAAAGCCTGGTGGTGAAAAGGTTAATTATCATATGTTACCAGTAATTATTCAGCATGGAATAAATTTTTGTTTAATGTGTGCTTCTAATAGAGCAAATATACTGATAGTACCTATTTAATGTTGAAATTAAAAGTCCCAGTTTTTGAAATAAATACAGTGATTAGATCTTTGGGATTAAATTTCAGATTAAAAATACAGTACAGTACTTAAAGATCAGGGTCCATAGCGTTGGGAAAATCCTTTGAAAGTCTTTGGATTTTTTGAGGTCTGGAAAGTTGTCTTTAAACTACAGGAAAAATAAAAAATTCTTTGAAAAGTCTTTAAATTTCTTCATAGTTATTAATTCATTTTTAGAAAGGCCTGTTTTCTCCAGGGAACTATCATATCCTCAGAACTTTGATGAGCTTTGGTAATGAGGTTGGCCTGAATTAAGGGTCAAATGTCTTGGAAAAATGCAAGAAAGTTTTGGAAAAGGTCTGGAAAAGTCTTGGTGCTATGGACCCTGGAGATGTACTGGCTCTTAATAGGTGATTTTCCGTACAATTGCGAGATCTCGCGGGATGCATGAAAGACGCGCGTCGAACGTCTGCCGCAAAAATCGAACGATTTGATTTTGAACTCAAATTTCTTTATTTCGTAGCTCACATCGACCGGCCAATCTTCGACAGAGGAATATTGCTTCCGAATACCCTTACTTAATCGAAATTGCCTATCATCAAATGTGGACAGCACATTATTAAGCATGGAAATCTCCCCCGAAATATTTTCGCGTTTGTCGAATCCCACGCGATGTTTGACGCGACTACGACGCTATGACCTTTGTTTGTCCTGTTTTTACGTTCGATTTCACGCACAACGCGTGATTCTACGCAGTGAACGGAAAATGGTCTATTGTTTTTCATTCAGTAAAAGGTTGATCAAAATGAAATGTACAAAGTGTTCATATTTCATTAAAAGACCTGTACCATCATATATTGAGCTTTTTATTGAAACCAAATATTACTTAATATAGACAGCCTTTGCAAACCTACGGTAATGTTTATTAGAAGATTAACTTTTTTTGATGATATAAAACAAAACATCCATCCATCCCTGCCTGAAATTGAATGGTAAACCCATACTTATATTGAAGAATTATTTAGCATGTTTCATGTTTGCCACTAGCAGTTCGAATTGGGAGATATTCAAAGAAAGCAAAACCCACTGTTATGGATGATGTCAACAGACTGACATCTACAACACCCTATGAGACTCCAATAGAGAAACAAGCAAGGGAGAGCAAAGAACTGGAGTTGTTTAACCTAACTCAGACAGTAGACAGAGCACATAGATTGACTTGTACTTATACCATCGAGAGAGCTCAGCAGCTTTTACACAAGAAGCAAATATTTCTGGTAAGTATTATCTGATTATTGTAACAATGCTGAGAAGTATGCACGAAGAAAACTTACAACTGTGCAATTAGAGTTATTCATGATGAAACCATGAACTGTTTGAGTGCGATATTGTCATATATTCTTATTATAACAATTATGAATGTCCCACAGCATCATATTTGATGATAAGTTGATACTATGCAGCTTGCATACGCTATCAAGCCTGAAATCATCTCTGAATCCAATATGGCTCTATGGGGAGTTCATCTTTATGACGTATATTATCACTGTGGTTGTATTGCCAATTTTTGCTTGTTTAATGCTTTACAACCCAGGGGTTATGGTATTTTGTGCAATGCAATGCCCGAAATGATGGTTCATAACATAACGGTACATATCACTTCATGCTGAAACCATAAGCAACAACAAAAAGTTGATTGTAAACAAAATTTAATTTAACATTTTTCATGTGAATTGCTTTGTTTGATTGAGTTCATTCACATTAGCATGCTTTTATTTTTACATCACAACATCCGATTTTTTTTTTACTGAAATGTGTGGATTCAGGAATACAATAGTAAGACATAACATTACATGAATGTTTGGTATAATGTACACCTTCTGTTTGCATTCGAAGCTTAGAGTGTTCTACGCATGGCAAACACAGAAATCTCACAGCGTAAGTCTGGTCCTATCTCACAGTGCAGAATGTGTCACAGTAACCCCATATGCGACGTTTTGCTGGCAGCTTCGCTGTCCATATTTGCTTTGTATAAAGAATATCTTAAACATCAGCAGGGTATCTTACTTAATATACATTCTGGCACATTCGCTGTCTATTTCGAATGGCTAAAGTTCCTTCAAAACCCTGAAAGCAACGCCGAAAACAACAGGACCGGGGCAGAACCAGTGCAGCGAACGACAGTTTGTTATGCGCAGTATCGTTGCGCAGTAGTTTCAGTGCTGTCATCTATGTGATATACCCATGTAATATCCACTTGGCGAGCAATATACCATGTAATATCTATTTTTATTCAATGTCATGTGACTGAGTCTCAGCCAATCACAGCATGTGTAAGATGTGATAATACTATATATGTAGATATTTTCATCTGATGTGTTTAGATCTTGCTCAGACAAAATTTAAAAGTGTGTTCATCCCTCTACACCTACAGCTCTGACATACGTGAACAGATTACATTCAAACATGAAACATGCATAATACATTGTGGGGCATTTCAATTTTAGGTAATCTTTCAGGGATAGTGTAATGTCCTGTTTTTAAAAAAAACCTACTGTACATGGTCCAACTATTTGAATTGTAAAGTTTTTGCGGTAATTATGTTTATAAATAACACTTTTATTTTTAGGCATTATTACACCCAAGTGAACCACCTCCACTGCCGAAAGTGAATATAGAGAGTACTGCAGATATTTCACAGAATATTGAATTGTTGATGTGGACAATCTTCTGTGAAGCCATGACTCCTGGAATCAAAAATGTTGTTGAGTTCGCCAAATGCCTACCAGGTTTTCTGACACTCTCTCAGGTAGGTTGCAGGGTTTGCGCTAGTGTCTCGGCAAGACAAGTCCCACTTAAGAAATTGAAATTTGACCCTGGATAACTTTATTAGAGATTGGACCCCAGCTTGCCTGAAAATTGGGTCCCTCTTCAATAATTGGAGTCCGGGAAGCATATCAAATCTTATAAAACTTGTATCTGAATTATATTTATGTACCTTAATTGCCAACTCATTGTCATATTTACGATATGACATGTTTATTGTCGCAGACCATATACATGTACTTCCAAATTAGTTTACCATTAGAATTAACCATCATACTGAACTGTTCTTTTGTGTAACTGTTGAAGTACCTGGTATATTAATTTCATATTCAGAGTAAATCAACCTTCTCTTGATACAGTTACCATGGTAACACAGCCACAAGATAAAGATATTTTCTTTTCTTTTTTTTGGATTCAAAGGAAGATCAAATGACTTTACTAAAGCAAGGATTTTTTGAAGCCTGGTTAGTTCGGATATCTCGCGTTTTATGCCCTGAAGACAAGACACTAACACTCGATGAAGAACAGATATTTACATCACATCATTTTACTCTGTTAAAGACCCAAGATCTGTGGAATGCAGTGTTTGAATTTGCAACTGGTTTACACCAGTTACAGCTCACTGATACCGAGCTAGCATTGTTTACTGCAGTCATACTGACATGTGGAGGTAAGGATACAGTGTCCATGTGTGGCCACTCATCTTCAATTCATGATATAAACTGTTTTTCTAAACACATTAAATGTTAGCATCAATAGAAAAATGTCATACCTGGACGGAATAACTGCGGCTTCATAATTTTATCGTTGAGAACAAATCACTGTGTCACTATGATTTCCAGTCCCATTCTCCAAACATTGACTAATTGCTTCTGTTAGTGGCATGTTTGAGGAATCCTGAATTGATCAGTCTCTGCAACAGGTGACATTTTATGCCTAAATCTCTATTATTATGCATTTTTTCAAACGCCCTATTTATTTATAGCTTAATAATTTATTTATTTGATGTTTATTTTATATAAAAACATGATATGAAATAAAGACTTCACATAGAGTAAATAGCCACAGAAACGTTGCCAAAAACAAGTAGGTTTGCTCTTGAGTACAATGGCTTGAAAGTTTCGTAACAACGCTTTTTTAGAACAGCGTACATAATGTAATTAGCAATGTAATTCTACAGAAAAACAAAGCAGAATAAACGTTTGCTGGTTAAGTCCAATTTCAATGATCTGTTCTAGCATATTTGAGTAGCACTTGAGATGTTCAAGCAATCAAAGTACATGCATGTTAAAATATTTTAATATTACAGAAACTAATTAGGTTAACTCATGTGAAAACATGGAGAATGTCTAAATGTCAAAACTGCTAAAATATTTTATGACTTTCCATGACTCATAAAATTTATGAAATTTGTTTCATTAAAATTAAAGTGGTTTAGTATATACTGAATATGATGACAGAAAAAAATATTTTCTAATCTAAATAGGAGCTGTAAAACTTTGGATTGGACTGCTGTGTAAACACTACCATATTATGATGTGCACTCAACACAGTATTTAGGGACAAGTAGAATTTTATGAAGCCAACTTCATTACCATAAAACCACTTCATATGACATATTTGGTCTCTTAAAAGCTTTGTTAGAAGTATATTGCTAGACTGCAATTCACACTAGAAATGCATTTTAGTACTGACAATCAAACCAAAAACTTTTTATGGAAAGTAGTCGAAAAGGATATGTATGTATGTACAAATGTATGTATAGATGCACCTCTGTCATTTATGTGAGCACATGTGCTGAGCAAATACAATATGCACATTACATTTAAATGGTATATATGTCACTTGTAAATTAATTTCATTGCATCACAGATCGCCCAGGAGTAAAAGATTCTCCACCCATTGAACTCTTACAAGAGAAGCTCCTAGAATGTCTACGAAGAGAAATCTTGCGTCAGGAAAACAGAGACCATCACTTGTTTGCTAGATTGATCATGAAGATGACCAACTTACGATCAATTGCAGCTCTTCATAATGAGAAGATGTTGGGTTTCAAAATAGACTGGCCGCAAGCTAAAATACCACCTTTACTCGCCGAACTTAATGATTTATGTGATAGTCTTGAATGCAGTCCTTTGAGTAAAGTGGAGAGGTAGGTTTAATCTATTATACTGTAGAATACTTTATTTTCGCTTGGAATTTATTTTCGCTATTTTCGCTGAAGGGATGATTCCGTGAAAATAAAATCCAGCGAATATACTTTTTTCCCTATATTTCACATTAAACTCATGAAAAATCAGTGAAAATAAATTCCAAGCAAAACGCCCAAAAAGCCTTTTCAGCGAAAATTAATTCCAGCGAAAATAAAGTATTCCACAGTATACTAACTATTCGTGACTAGTGTGTGCTCCAAAGGCAGCATCATACATTTGCTGATAAAGGTGATTTTGTCGTTATATTCTCTCAGGCTTCATAGTTCCTATTTTTCGCTGTGAGGAATTTTCCCATTTAGACAATTCAATGGCTATTATGAGGACAACATTTTATGACAGTCGCTGTAACTTCATGTCATAAGGACCCCGGGTGAATTTCAGTGACTTGTGAAATTTGATCTGTCATTGAATTAAAGCGATGTACAGTGGTGTTTGAGTGCCAAGTCAACATTTGTCTTTATTCACAAAATGAACCATACATTTTTTTTTCAGATTTTTTTCAAAAGTTTTGATCAAAACCCTACCCTATCAGAAATTATGATCCAAAACTATCACAACAAATTATAGCGAATAGAAGAAAAATGTACTAAAATATTGGTTCAAAAAATTATGGCTGTGTATATGTGTAATGTGTAAATAAAGCAACATCAGCTTCATTTTTTGTAAAATTTATTTTTGAATTTTTATAATACTGAGTCAATACACAAAAGTTGTTGTTGCATTGTGTATATTTATGCATCCAAATTTTTTTTCTAAACAAAAATTTTTTTTTTTCAGCTATCGAGGTGCCATGTTTACATCGTAACATTTAGCAACGGTAGTTTAATTTGGCTACAGATAATCAACACTTCTTTCGGCCTTTTAATTTTCAGAAAACGATACTGCTGCCTAGCTTTGGTGCAATATTCTATTATCTTTTCCTGTTTATAATCACTAAATCAATGTATTTTAATTACTCGTTGGCTAAAAGTTTTAATCTCAACATTTAAAAAAAAATCTACAAAAAAAAATATTTTTTTGAAGGTGACGAAATTTAATTTTATAATCGATGTTATAGTTATACTCTATTTACATAGCCAGTAGTAATCTAATGTTTTCTTTTCAATCTAGTGATGATGTTGATAACATTGTAACAGCAATATCCTCCACGAAAGAAGAACCTGTGTTTGTGTAGGAAACTAACGCTGAAAACTGTGTCTATAGACAGCACCTTGTATCTGCCAAGTGTATTTGTGAGTGAGTGTATCCAAAAGTTATTGAGTCCCATTGGAATGCATACTTGAGCCTACTGCTGAGGTTTATGAACAACGCCCCCTCAAGTTGTTGGTTGAAATTACTTTGTTTTTAACTAATGGTTATGCATGACGATAACAAACTTTTGTTTAAAACCTCAAATATCAACTGTGTAGTTTGAATCCAGATTGAAAATCTACCTGCATCCAAATCCTTCAGTCAAACATGGTTTGTCCTAAGCTGTAAAGCTGTGTAAGCTGTACACATCTAGTTTACAAGACATTTATAAACTAAACACTTCTGTGAACCGAAAATAATTCTCAGTTTTGTGGTACAGGTCAGACAGGTTTAACTCCATTATTATGTGGTTTGGTTATTTACTGTGTTTAACCTTTTCACCACTAGTTTCCTCTTTTTATCACAAAATTGACGAGAAAGTCTGGTGGTGATAGGCCTACTCTGCACCCAGTATCCCTTGGCAACAATAGCATATATTATCAAATACCAATATATTTTTTTTCAAAAATATAGCATTGATGAAACAGTTAAACAAAAAAATACATTGTTTTGCACGAATATTATTATTATTAAATTACAATAATGAGTACATTAAGGTAAATGGGTAGTTCATACTACAGATAGAGAAAGTTTGTATTTAGATTTTTTAACATACCTATAATAATCAGATATCAGATAATAACATTGTTTATGAGTACAATTAGTTAAAATGAATAAACAAATTTTTAGCATAATGGCAGAAATATAAATATATATATTTTATTTTTATCATGATGTCAACAACATGTTGAGATACAGTTGTTGTCGACTACAAAAATTATATTTTGCATGAAATCGAGATGAGGTCAGTCCCGTTCGTTCCATTGAGCATGGATACGAAGATGAAACATTATCTGTATCAATGGCGGCTTCAGTTTTCTTCACCCTTTTAGAGTGACTGACCTTGCTGTCAAACAAAAACGTCATTGTGCAAGGATTTACATTACCGGTAGTACAGTATTTCAAGATATTCTGATGCAGATCTCGGACAAAAAATAGTATTACTACTGACCACATAAAATATCAATCAAAGCCTAAAATTGGGCTCAGGAAAAAAAATTTTTTTTTTTAATCTCTAATTTTTTTTAAAATAAACTTGTTAGTCATTTTAAGCAAAGTGTGTTCAATTATTTGATAATACAAATTACATGTGTATTTAAGCAGTATATTTTAAAAACTTTCTAATAATTATTCAAACATTGTCAATCCATCATTGAGTCTCAGGGAAAAAGATGTACCATTCCATAGAGAAGCATGCATTGTTGTCTTAACTGTACATGTACATCAAGATGTCATTTTTTTTTACATCATGTCAATTTTGTCCAGATGACTTTTACCAAAAGAATTATTGCATTCCGCAAGACCTTGTGATATTAGTATATTCCTGTAAATTTGAATGTTTCACAAATCTTAACATGTTGTAGGACTGAATACTGGTAATTAAATGGACTACCAGGTAGGTATAATGTATACCTCTGTTGGCCACTGGCAGGACATGTTGGGAAATTCAGATCCATCTTTTGATGACAATCTAGCACATTTCGCAAAAGATAATATACCGGTAATGATTGATCTCAATTCCGAGTTGGGGAAGGAAGCTCTATGAACAATAAGTTTACACAATAGTTCAGGGCTATGTAATTTCTATGTGAGTATGTGGGGTTATCAAATTATTACTGCATATGAAAATTGTGTGGTACAATACATTCTGGCACTGATATATTAGAGAAATTGAATGGCGTGATCACATTATACCTAATTGCCACTGTGATCTACGATGAGTTCTATAATGCCAATTTCTGTGTGTTGTTCTGTGAGTGACGTACGATTGTCCTGTGTACTACCATATATGGTGACGATGCGGAAAGTACTGTACGACTGTGATGCCAAGATGATAGGTGGTCTATAACTGTGATTTAATTAATTAATGTATAGTGACTTCATCGATGTCAATTAAGATGTTGTGTGACATGTTGCCATGGTTTTGAAACTGTGTACATTTATATGCAGGTGACTTGAAGATTTTGAATAGTTTATGATGACATACCATATTGTATAGAAATTGGTGATAATAGATGCCAGCCAATATTATGTTAGGTGTAATGTGACATATTGTAAAGATTTGAGTGATTTTGTGATATGATAATTATCTAAATATTATATGTGTGACTTGATGCCAATATTTTGAGTGGTGCATGGCATTTTGGTTGATGCCAAAATGTTATGTGGTGTATTTGTGTTATGATGCCAATATTTTGAGTGATGTATGCAGGTGACTTGGTGCCAGGATTTTGAGTGGTGCATGGCATTTTGGTTGATGCCAAGATGTTACATGTTATGTGGTGTATTAGTGGCATAATACTAGTACCAAGATTTTCAGTGATGTATGCAGGTTACTTGGTACCAGGATTTTGAGTGGTGCATGGCGTCTTGGTTGATGCCAAGATGTTACATGTTATCTGGTGTATTAGTGGCATAATACTAGTACCAAGATTTTGAGTGATGTATGCAGGTGACTTGGTGCCAGGATTTGATTCATAGTGGTGTATTAAAGATATAGCCAAGT